AGCCCCCTACCAGGAGGCCGAAGCAGACCCCAAGTCGGAATTTCTGCCCCCCTCCAACCCGCACAAAAAGACCCCGAAGGGGGAGACTCCCTGCAGCAACACAAGCGTTCATTGCACGTATCCGTCCCAGGGGGCCGTAGTTTGAGGACCCCTGATTGAGTGCAATATAAAAAAATGCAAATAATTTTTGGGTGGATCACCAAAATTTTCTCACAGACCCCCAGTTGGTGATCGCTCTGGTGCCGAACAACACATCTTGGGCTGAACCAAGATTCTGAACAAACCACTCATAAACCCTCAACACTGTTGTGTTCGTTAAATGGGGGATGCCCAAACCGAACCCCCATTTCAATTCGTACTGGCTAAAAATGAAGGGGGAAGGGACCTTAAGGTTCCTCTCGCACATCTGTGCTAGTCGTTCCCGACTCTAGGGGGCGGTGCTCTTCTCCATTTCAAAGCCATAGTCATGGGGCCGGCATCCGGAAGATATGGGGAAACCTACCTGGCCCATCGAATTGCCAGGTGTCGGACACAACTGAACTGATAACATCTCCTCTTCCTCAATCTGCCAAGGTTGGACATATGTGGTACAGGGTCTCCTGCTTGAGCAGGGGGTTGGGCTAGAAGACCTCCAAGGTCCCTTCCAACCCTGTTCTTCGCTCGGAATAATAGAGTTGGAAGGGACCTTGGAGGTCTTCTAGTCCAACCCCCTGCTGAAGCAGGAAACCCTACACCATTTCAGACCAATGGCCGTCCAATCTCTTCTTAATGTTGGAGTATTCACAACTCCTTGTGGCAAGCTGTTTCACCGATTAATAGTTCTCACTGTCAGGGAATTTCTCCTTAATTCCAAGTTGCTTCTCTCCTTGATTAGTTTCCATCCATTGCTCCTTTTTCTGCCTTCTGGTGTTTTGGAGAATACTTTGACCCTCCCCTCTTCTTTGGGGCAGTCCCTCAAATATTGGAAGATGCTCTCATATCCCCCCCTAGTCCTTCTTTTCATCAAACTAGCCATACCCACTTCCTGCAACTTTTTAATATGTTTTAGCCTCCAGTCCCCTAATCCTCTTTGTTGCTCTTCTCTGCACTCTTTCCAGAGTCCCACATCTTTTTTTTTAATATTGTGGCAACCAAAACTGGATGCCGCATTCCAAGTGTGGCCTTATCAAGAGATATTCAACACTTACAAGAATACAAGAATACAAGAGCAGATTTGGAAGGGACCTTGGAGGTCTTCTAGTCCAATGAGAGCATCGGACTCCATTTTTCATATCTGTAGAGTTGTGTCCTTTTTTTTATATTCGATTGTTTCTCCATCATGGGACAGGTCTTTCTGAAATGGAGAAGGGGGGGGAAAAAGAGACCAATGGGATTTTCACGCTCTGAACTAAATTTATTCTGTCGTTGTAGAACCTGACATACAGGTACAACAGTTTGCCTCCCGAAGTTGCAGTGGCTCCGTCATTGGAGGGTTTAAAGAAGAGACTGGACAGCCAGTATAGAATAACAGAGTTGGAAGGGGCCCTGGAGGTCTTCTAGTCCAACCCCCTGCTTAGGCAGGAAACCCTGCATCACTTCAGATAAGTGGTTATCCAATACCACCTTTAAAACTTCCANTCACCTTTATAAGGGCCAAGTGGCTAGTCCTCAAGACTGACCTTTTTTTCTTTTGACATTCTCTTTCTGGAAAACAAATGGGAGTTTTCAGGTCCTTCGATCATGTTCAGAAACAATATATATCTATATCTATATATATCACCGTTTTAAAGTCATTTTTCACTTTAAATGGCCTGTATTTTTAAAACCAAGAAGAGAAATTTAAGACGAATATAGATTTATTTTTCTACGATGACCGCCGGGATGACGTGGGACGTGGATTGTCCAGAACTGAAGCTGGTTGGATATACTGTATATTGTTATAAACATACGCATTTTATGTTCTTTTTTTTTTTCCCTGATGCCTCATGAAAGTTACATTACAAGGGACGTTTGGACGAAGCCGTGATTGCTTTGTGCCGTTTTAAATGCTGCTGCTTGATTTTTGATACAAAAGTACATATTGTCGTTTCTTGGTGTCTTCAAACCTCATGGGAATTAATTGGAGTTTAGGGGGACATTTAAATATAAATAAAAAACGGCAAAGCACAGAACTTAACCATCAGAGATCAGCGAGGGATAAATTCATCTGTTTTTTAATTCTGTAAACTTTATTTTTTTAAAACATATGCTGCAGTGATTCACAGCGCTGGAAACAATCCGAGATGTGTTGTTTTAGATGGGTTGGGTATTCCCCCCCCCCCATTTTTGGCTTAACTTTTTCTTGAAAATAAACCAAATATTGCTGCTAGACCTCATGAACTCTGTCGGTTTGGCCAGGGATACTATCTTAAGCGTAGGACGGTCGTTTTGGAAAATGGAAAGACGTAAAGATTCCACAGAGAATTGCATCTAAAAACGGTAGTTTTTCAACTTACGACCGCAGTCTTCATGGCTAAGGAAGGCAGCGGTTAAGTAAGTCATACCCGATGGGGTTGATAAGCCAATTGCTGCCATTGTTAAATGAACCATGCGGTCGTTAAGCGAACCCAGCTTCCCCGTCGATTTTGCCGGCGAAAAACCGGCCAGGAAATGAATTAAATTGAACTGAACTTTAAATATGGCCAAATGCGATTCGACACGCAAGGAATTCCCCGGCGATCCTGTGACTCTGGAAACGCTGCTATCATCATAAATACACGCCAATTGTGCCAAGCACCTGAATTCAAATCATGGGGATGACGGGAACATTGCCACGGTCATTAACTACGAGAACCAGTCCCTCTTTTCAGGGCCGTCGTAGCTTCGAAGACTTGCCGAAAGGATGGCTGCAAACCGAGGACTATCTGATTAACCGCCAAGTCCAGTCCGATCGGCGCTTTGCCTCTGCCAATTTGAGCCTAAAACCTCACGAGGACTAGCTGCCCGCAGAGCTGGCTGCCGTAAATTGGTGACACTTTAATGCCCGATCAGGCTAAACAATATTCCGTTTTGCGTAACCCATTTCAGCCTCGCTTCCCGAAGCTGTAAAAGGAAATTTCAAACGGACCAGAGAAGCAAAAACAAAAAAAGAGCATTTTGACTCATTTGTCCATGGTAGAAATCATCTTTTTTTTTCCAAGGAAAATCACAGCCAGGAACCAGTGCCATAATCCCAGCTGAGTCGAAAACTTTTGTTTACAATCCGGGGTTAGGTTTCCAGCATTGCCAAAAAATAAAAAATAGCACGTTTCCCATCTCTTGCACGCCTTTTCCCCTGTCTCTGTTGGGAAACCTTTTTTTTTAAAATTAAAAAAAATCTGTACAAGGCGCTTTAGGATTAAATGTTTATTTGGAAAAACGGGACTCATTAAAAACAAACACTATTGCAGCAGGAGTGTGTTATGTGTGGTTTTTCAGCTTCTGTGAGCGTTNCTGGATGGAGTCTGCAGGCAGAGACCCTGGGGGGCTCAAAGCAGGGAGACCCCAATTTTGCTGCGGAAGAGAGAAGGCACCAGATCGTTCTACCAGTGGAAGGCTTGGTCTGTGTTTATTTAACATGCCCCTTCCCACTCCATCAACCCCCTCAATTGACAACTAAAAGCCACACACAACCAGGCACCGCATAAATACAGATAGCCGTCGACTTATGGCAATTCACTTAATGACCGGAGTTATAACAGCACTGAAAAAAAAAGTGATGGCCATTTTTCACACTTAAGACCATTGCAAGAATGCCAAGCCCCCCCTCCCCCCCAAACAAAATGGAGAGACTTGGCAACTGCCTCCTATTGATGATGGTGGCACTGTCATTGTACACGGTGTACATTGGCTGAGGATGATGGTCGTTGGACTCCTTACCTGGATGATAATAGAGTTCAGTTATAACACTCCTGCTTTGAAAGTTAACCCTTCTGTTTCAGGCTTTCTCCAACCTGGTCCACCCAGCATGTTGAGTGGCATCTCCCATTGTTTTATGCCGGCCGCTGGGGATGAGTGGTGTGGTAGTTAGAGAAATCCCTATTTGGAAAGAAAGGTGCTTATTTTGTGGATTTAGAAAACACAAATGCAATACTTGGTTATAATGTGAGGAGCCAAAACTCTGGATGTGCCCCATGCTGAGAGGTGGCAGAATAACTGATGAATAAATGAGATTTTATTTAAAAGCACAAAGGGATTGATATTCTTCAATGCTCAAAACAGTGAATTAATCATGCTTCTAGTCCTCAGTTTCTAGCCCCAAAGCCCAAATGGACCCACTCTTTTATATGCACAATGAATTAATCATCCTTCTAGTCCTCAGCTTCTGCACTATTTCCAGTCCCAAAGCGCAGTCCCAAAGCCCAAAGGGATCTGCCTTTTAATATCCACAAAACAATGAATTAATCATCCTTCTAGTCCTCAGCTTCTGCACTATTTCCAGGCCCAAAGCGCAGTCCCAAAGCGATCTGCCTTTTAATATCCACAAAACAATGAATTAATCATGCTTCTAGTCCTCAGCTTCAGCACTATTTCCAGGCCCAAAGCCCAGAGGAATCAATTTTTTAAAAGTGCACAAAACTCATTAATCATGTTATTAGTCCTTAGTTCTGTTCTGTTCTATTCTATTCTTGTTATTTTCCAGTCCCATTTTAGGTCTCAAAATGTGTGTGTATACTTTTTAAATTTTATTTTATACTACTCCTTCCAAAAGACTTAATCACCCTAGGGAAGCCTCCTCTGAAATGCATCGGATCACAACTCCCATAAGCCCCATCATAGGCGTATTAACATGACCCATATATGAACTATACATAGGGATGGGGTTTGCGCATGTGTAGTCTGTTTTCCCCTCCGTAGTCTCGGCTTTCATCTTTACCCCTGGCAAGGGCCGCCTGACAGGCCTTCATCAACCCGCCGCCCATGCCAGTGGTAAAGATGGAAACCGACAACACCGCGGGGGAGAAAAAAGAAAAGGTAGCGCATGCGCAAATCCCATCCAGGCAGGCGGCAACCCGGAAGAGATTCTGCCTGGAGCGGGTCACGTGAAAGGGCTGCAAATGGCCGCTGGTGGGATTTTTTTGCAGCTGGAAAGGGGAGAAATGGATGGATATCGAGGGAGGCCGTTTGGGACTTGGGAGGCCGGGCTTTTTCTGCGGAGATGGGCCGCTGAACGAGCCGGGAAGAGACGGAGAGGCTCTATCCAGCATGAGGGGAGGGTTCCTGTCTTCCAAGGCTTGGGTGCCTCTGAGCATGCACAGAGTNTAGGAAGGGCAAGAAAAACAAGGAAGATTTGAAACGCTAGCGATCAGAACTCCATTTCACGGCCTGCAAAACTCGGTTTAAGAGAAGGCCCAGCCACCCCACATAGTCTTAAAACTGGGGGGGGGTATCTTTGCATCACAAAAGGCACCCATAAAATTCCCATTTCCCTCCACCCCATTTGACGTTCAAACCTCGGCATTGTCAGAAAGAAACTGGCTCAAATCTTTTAAGCCACGGAATTACATTTTGAAATAAGTTTTTTTTTTTTTTTGGGGCAATTTTTCTGCCCCCTTCAGTCGCCTTTAAAAAGTCCTTTTTGGAGTCCTGGATCTCTTGGCGGGGTTCCTGGGATCTTGTTCTTGCGGGAATTAAAACGCGGAATCAAAAAACGGCAGGGAGAATTGTCCCAAGGGAATCGGACACCCCTTTTTTCCCGTTCCTCCTCCCCCCTCCCTCCGCCAATCCTGTCCAAATTCAGGAAAGAACTACATTCGTTGAAACGCCCAACTCGGGACAGCGGGAATCAAACTACAAAATAGCGGTTCCTTGCTTTGCAAAACCTCTCCCCCCCAAATTTGCAAGCTTGTTCGGTCGTCGGATGTCGAGCTCGGTTTTTCCCCTGCAGGAAAAATGAAGAGTGCAAGCTGATTTCTCCTCGTCGGTTTCGCCTTTCCCACTCGCCCAACGACCGTCCTGCAGGGTAGGCCATCCGGAGGATGTGCAACAGCATTTCCGATCTCGACGGAGGAAGTCGGGAAAGGCGTGGCGGAAATGTCACAATCCAAACCGCTTGTGTTTCCATTCGGATGAGGAGAGGGGGGGGGCGGCAAAAGGCCACTAGCAGGCCACGTTTAAGCCAAGGGGTGCTTTTCCAAAGACTCCTGCGAGACCCCAAACCTTGCTACTTTTCTTATTCAAAGGGGAGTGATTGATCCACCTGTAGATGAGTGAAGGAGGACTGATTTCCTTCTCTGCTTTTTCTGCCCAGCCGCCTTCACCCCATCCAAGTGCGGGTTCGAACGATCCCCAGATCGTTTGAATGATCCCCTTTTTTGGGGGGGGGGGGGAAAGATCAGAAACCGTAGAGGTTAACCAGCCTGCGGGTACCAGCCTCCCCCAAACGGCCTTGCTTATGCTATGCCTTCTACATTCAAAAAATCATCCCCGTCGAGGAGTCCTGTGTGATCCTGAAGCTGGCTGTGTTGGCAGCAATCCCGCCTTGGGATGGGGATTAAATCCGGGAAAATTGGGGTCGGCGGATCGGCTGGCTGGCCACCCCCATCTCCTGCCTTCCATCCTTCTCTCTCTGCTTCTTCCCACGCTCCCTCCAGGCTGCCATCCGTCCGGGGCAGCCCCGGCTTCACTCGTCGGGCGAGCAAGCGGGGTGAGGCTGATCGGGGCTGCCCACGCTGCCCGTGCTGGAGCTGCCGTCGCCCAGATCTCGGGGCCCGCAAGGCAAGCTGAGCTCCGACGAGCCACCTCCGGGGCTGGGGCTGGCATCGGGCCGGGCGGCGTTGGCAGAGGAGGAGGAAGAGGAGGCGGCCGAGGCGGCGCAGTCCTCCAGGGCCAAGCAGAGCTCCTTCAGCTCCAGGTTATCCTGCGCCAGCCGCTCCTGCAACCCTTCCAGGCCCGCCAGCTTGCGGAGACAACCGGCCACCTCGTCGCGGAGCCCCTGTGCCGCCTGGTGCCCGAAGAGCTGCCAGTGGCGGGCCAGGCGCTTGGCTTTCAGCCGGTCCTCGTCCAGGAAGCAGCAGAGGTCGCGCAGCTCCCGGTTCTCGCCCTGCAGCCGCCCGTTGACGGCTTTGAGCTCGCGGATCTCGCGCAGGTGCTCCTGCAGCTGCCGGTTGACGCCCTGGATCAGCCGGCCGCGCTGCACCAGCGCCGCCAGCTTCTCCGCCTCCTCCCGCCGCAGCCGCCGCACCAGCTCTTCCTTGCTGCAGCCGGTTAGGTCCTCCGCCTCCTCCTCCTCCTGGGCAGCAGCGGCGGCGGCCGGGGCATCGGAGGGCGGAGGAGGCGGCGGGGCAGCCGGGAGCATCGCTGGGCTTCAGCCCCGGCCGGTGCAAAGCGGAGGGGAAGCCGAGCGCTCAGCCCGGCCGGGCAGCGGCATCTTTGCAAAGGCGGCGCGGGCGGAGGAGCCTCGGGATCTCTCGCCAGCCTCCTCTTCCTCCTCCGGCACCGGGCGCTGCGCCTCCGCCGGCCAGAGGCAGGTGCAGCGGAGGGAGAAGGGCGCCTGCGCGGCGGAGGAGGGGGAAAGAGGGAGGAAGGAGGAGGGGATTGGGGGATTTGAGGGGGGGGTGGAAAGTTGGTGGGGGGT